CTGGAATTTCTGTCACTAAGGGGTATGGTTACATAACATTGCATTTTATGACAGCATTACTTAGCTACAAAAATTCTGGTCCCAACTGATGTTGTTCAATGACAACTATGTGTGCTCTATATTTTAGAATGTTTCAAAAATTACTGTAGACCTAGATAAAAAAAGATAGATGAAAGACAAAAGATCAAATTTAAAAATGTCCAACATTTCACAAAAGACCACCAAATCTTGATTTTTTTTATCTTATTCCCAAAATCTGTTCTGAGGATACTAAAATATGGCATGAAAACCAACATTTTATATAATTTGGCAATAGTATTTTGGTGTTATTAAATTGTGCATTTTTTATAGATTTAATTTTGGAGTTCTAGGGATGCATTTCAGTATAGTGCATACATTCTAGGACCCAAACTTGCCATGTTGCAGACTAGTGGTCCAAAATACCATTATCTAAGGAAAAAAATCCCCTGAAATCTATCACATTTTCTATGTTTTCTATCATTTCTTTCACTTAATTCTTTTTTTCAGAAATGATAGCATCTGCCTTTTTACATCTAAAAGCATTTTAGCTTTTCTCTTTAGTTCTGGCTTGAATAGTATGCCATCCTTACATGTAACATTCACTTTGATAATAACCTAAACATGAAACTAAAATTCGCGCTATTGGCGCTAAAGAAAAAGGCCCTGTTAGTCATACCCTTCATCCTAGTTCATTTGCATAGACCTCTGGCACAAAATTACTCGATAATGTAGCACTGCACATGTTAGATTTAAAAAATGGAACTGTGTCATGAGCATGATTAGAAACTTTATAGAAAGAGTTTAATTTGAAGTAAAGAAACACTTTCCATGCAAGCAGTTCCAATTTAATTCCTGCCTGAAAAAGCCTTTGTCTAAATTTTTGGGAAGACAGCAGGCCACTATAGAATTGCAAATTGGTGCACACAGTACTGAGTTGGATGAGCCAATAATCTAACTTGATATAACAGAGCACCTTCTAACCCTGAAATACTTTATATGAGCATGTTACACTTTTCTCTCTTTTGTTGATTAGTCTCTTCAGTTATCTTGCAAAGAGTTTTGGAAATGACTTGCCCTTGCCTTCTTCTTAGAACTGTGAGAATATCCCCTAACTGTGTCTTTGTGTCTAAAGTGGAATCAGAACTCAAGTTTCCCAGTTTCTAGCCTGATACCTTAACACTTGCACCAAATTGGCTCTTCATATTATGCTTAATAATATTTCCCAGCATCCATTACTTTCTCTTCCTTAAGTTTCTTGATTGCCATATTCCATTATCTTTCCTCCCTAAAATACCAAAGGTTCTGGATCTCAAATACCAAAGGTTCTTTGGTATTTAATAATTTCCTTTAGTAAGAAAAAAAAATTCTTTAGCTCCTGCATTGTAGCAGAGTGATCATTGGGGGATAAGATGAAAAAGGAAACATTCTGTACATCTTCCTTTTTCTTCTTAAGATGCAAGGAAGGCAGCTTACCTTATCATCAGGCATAACATGCCAAATAGAGACCGTCTTCTCTTCAGCTTCACTATTGATTGACAAGTATGAAGGTTGATAGATTTTTGTAGGTTCCAATATCAAAACCTTCAAGCAAAAATGACAAAACAAAAGTTAATAACAGTTTCCTCAAAATGTCTACTTATTTCAATATTAAACTGTAGCTGAATAGAGATTATAAGTCTTTGTAACAGGTATTCTCTACATGGTTTATAATTTTATTAGCTAAACCATTTACGGCAACTATTTCTATTGCATAGCCTCTTATACTTTATCATACATCGGTTTATGCATTAACAGTATCTAAAAAAAGAATTAGTGAGGTAATAGCATGCAACACAGAACAAATTCTGTGGTAAGAAAAGAAAATCTTTATTTTGCTATGTGCATGGTAGAGTTCAATTAAAAACTACATTCTATTATTTATCGAATGCTTCTTCTCTTCCATCTTCTTTGTTAATAGAATTTTTTTTATTTGTATTTGTGTATTTCTCCAATTAATACTGGTTTCAATTATTTAATATAATATAGTAACAGAGTTGGAAGGGACTGTGGAGGTCTTCTAGACGAACTCCCTGCTTAGAAAGGAAACCCTACACCAGGTCAGGCAAATGGTTATCCAACATCTTCTTAAAAACTTCCAGTGTTGGAGCATTCACAACTTCTGGAGGCAAGTTGTTCCACTGATTAATTGTTCTAATTGTCAGGAAATTTCTCCTTAGTTCTAAGTTGCTCTCTCTCCTTGATTAGTTTCCACCCATTGCTTCTTGTCCTACCCTCAAGTGCTTTGGAGAATAGCTTCGCTCCCTCTTGTTTTTTTTTAATTTTTAATTAAATTTTTAAATTGGCTTTTGTTTAATTTGAAAGATTATTTTCTAGATCTTAAATCAACATTATTGGGAGACATGTAACTACTATTTTCTTAATTTCAGTATAAGTTCAAATTCTGCACAGAAGAAGGCAAGGAAGCTGCCAATTCCCCCCTTTTTTTCCCCAGGGAGGAAAAACTAAAAGAAAACATGAAAATTGCTAATTCAATACATAAAAACTCTGATGAGACATGAGGTAAAAATGCCACTTTTACCTCTCAATAAATTGTCAAGAGTTACAATGGCTTTGGTTTATCCGATGACAAAAAAACCAATGTAAAAAAGCTATTGTAGCCCAGATTAGATATTGTTGATAGGTTTTCCTCTGATTCTATGATATTCTATGAAAATACACAAATGAAAATCTTTGTGGGGAAGGAGGTATAAGGAAGGAAGAGAAAAATATTTTGTAGAGGGGAACAGGTATAGCGGGATGAAAAGCATGCATAAAAATAAAGAAAAACTGTAAGAACAGTATTGATCAGAAGATTGCAGCTTTTATAAAAGTAGACACTAGCTTGCATTCATTCCAGTTTACAAAATAGCAGCTATAAAGCAAGATTTATGCTGTTCATTATTTTGGTAAATTTAAAGCATACAGTATGTTACGATGAAGTAAAGGACTGGGCAAGCAAAAAACGTATTTCTGCAAATTTAAGCAAGGAATCTTTGAAGTGACTGTGAATACCGAATCCCCAATTACTGTTAATTTAGCAGGGAGGGATCAATAGGTCTCAGATGACAATGTATTGAAAAGCAGCAGGATGGAACTGATAGTGAAAAGGTAAAGAACAGTATGTTACTTATTTGCCAAGTATGATTAAGTATGAAATCATACAATAGGTGAATATACAAAACATTTGGTTCAATCTGTTGTCAAGAGAAAAGATGTAACAGCCCAAATTATTTAAGTGGTAAAATAGTTAGAATGACAGACTGCAAACTAGCTTCAATTCCTCATTCAGAAATGAAATTCAAGCTCATAATCATAATCTTTTCACCAGAATTGTTGTGACATTGAAGCTAAAACTGTAGAAGAACCATGTTCTTTGTTGGAAAAGCAGGATGTCTGTATCTAATAAAGATCAATTTAATTATGTTTTTTTTTAATTTATTGCCTTCCCAATTAAAGCACTTCTCTTTCCAAATAACCATGTAGCAAGACAAACAGGAAATGAACAGTGTTTAAATTATACTTACGGGAAATCTAACTACAGAGACATCCGTTTTTGTAGCCTCGACTAGAAAATCCATCCAAAAGTCTACAAGTTCATTTTTGCCTACTTGTTGGTCTGGATTTAGCTTCTTAAAGTGCTGATATATCAAAATGGTTTCCACAATGGACTTAAGATACCTAGGATAAACCAGGAGAAAACAAAGACTAGTTCACAACATTTTATATTATTGCTTGCAATCTTTACCACATTCTTTTTTTACCGTGTTTCCCCGAAAATAAGCCCTCCCTGAAAATATTTAAAGGCATGTGCAGCCAGTCCCTGCCATTTCCTCTGGTTAGGGTTAGGGAGACAGAGCTGGAAATCAGGTAAGACGGCAAGAGGATCCCCGTCTTGCTCCATGCACCCCAAAATAATAAGACCTCCCCGAAAATAAGGCCAAGCTCTTATTTCAGGGTTCAAAAAAATATAAGACAGGGTCTTATCTTCGGGGAAACACGGTACACAGACCAAAAAGCACATCACAAAACTGTTTGACTGGGTAAACATGTACAGAGCCTCTTTTCCCCGAAGCTGGTACTCCACTATGTTTTTTTAAAATAGCTTCCACCTTCCATTGTGCTTAGGATAATATAAATCACATTGTCCTGGATAGATTCCCTACTACTTTGCAGACAGAAAGAAACATATTTTTCTCCCTTTCTTAAAATTAGTAAGTGTCCTTTCTTTTTTTTTAGTCGAGAAAATACTTCCATGTTACTGGTTATTTCCAAGAATTATTTATTTCCAAAAAGACAGATGTATCATAAATGGAAATATGCTTCACTGAACTGAAGCCTGAATAAACACAAAGGCCTGTATGGATAAATAAAGATGGAAATAAAACATACGATGATTCTCTTATCTCTTCTCTGGATCTGGTTTCAATCACTCCCTATCACAGTTTCAACTCAAATTGACTCAGGGAATTATAGTTGCCTAGCAACTACAATCCATTTTTCTCATCTTGGAACCCAGCAAAATGTCTGACATAGTTCTTACTGAAAGTCAGCTAAAGAACCATTGTTCCAGATCTGCTTGCTATCTTATTGCTTGGTGTCTTTTTAAAAGTAAATACAATACCAAAATCTCTCACTGATCCCACAAACTAGCCTTGAGAAGAACATCAGGCAGAGGCTACACACTGTAAAATAACCACTTGTGTCAACTCTTCATTGCTCTCTTATTGATTTAAAATTAGAATGATAAAACATTAAGAATAAGGGGAGAGAAGGAAATGGACCCAGACCCAGAACTATTCTAGGTATGCTGAATATTGCACCCGTATTTACATGGGCTGACCGTTCATCAAAATTATTTTTAACATTTTCACTCAAGTTGAGAACAAATTCTGTTAAACTGGATGTAAGTAACATTGGTTTTTTTTCTTTCTGAATTTCAGAGTTTGAATCCAGAGTCAAAACTCAAGTGCTTACTCAGGAAAAAAAAAAGCAGAAGGATACCTGGAAACACACATTTTATGTACACTGTACTTTCATCCTCTGGTGTCAATGTGGTGTACAAAATGATTCGTTTTGCAGAGTTGCCAATGTCTTTAGAATGCAATGTCATTTAATCTGAAAATTAAATGTATATTAATGGCACAAAAAAGTATCGCTTACCATGCTGGTGTCTTCAACTTGAATAGCTTTTCTGAGGCATGGATCACTCTTGTGTGATCATTTGCCAAGACGCTGGCTCCCAGGAAAAAGCCTACTTCCCAATAACTTTGCAATTTCTCCAAGTTTCCTTTCTTCCCAAGTAGGCTGCTTATTTTAACTCCTGGAGAAATTAAAATTGTATTTTAGCTGTAATGGTGGGAATTCTGGAACCCAGAACCCCAATCCATCTAGAAACTGTCAGGCTAAGGAATATAGACTTACGCCTTTCAAATTTAATAGACTTAATAAACCTCAGCAGAAGTTGTTACTCACTACAGTACTACAAATTTAAAAACTGAGCCACTGCCTAATTTCAGGATGTCATTGTTTTCATACATTTATGACTCCCTCTTCATTTCTGCACAAGTTTTACTAACGTCAGAGATAAGGTCAAAAACAAAAGAATGAGGTTTAAGGGGATCTAGCAGAAACTGATAAAAAGGATGCACTGTCAACAGAAGTCACAAAATTAGTGCTATGAAGCAACCTTCATTTCTTTCATCAAGGTTTCAAGTGGGAAGTCTATAAAATTGAATTGAGATTTTTCTGTTTCTCAGTAATTAGAAAATTGGCCTGCTATACAGGTAGTTCTCGACTTACTACCATTCATTTAGTGATGTTGCAATGGCACTGGAAAAAGTGGCGTATGACCATTTTTCACACTTACGACCATTGCAGTATCATCACGGTCACTTGACAAAATTCAGATGTTTGGCAACTGGCTCATATTTATGACCATGGCAGTATCCTACCGTCCCAGCATCATGTGATCACGTTTTGTAACCTTCTGACAAGCAAAGCCAATAGGGAACCTAGATTCATTTAACAACCATGTTACTAACATAGCTGAAGTGATTCACTTAACAACTGCGGCAAGAAAGGTCGTGAAATGGGGCAAAACTCATTTAATAATTGTCTTGCTTAGGAACAGAAATTTTGGGCTAAATTGTGGTTCAAAGTTGAGGACTACCAGTATTAGCTTAATAATACCTTGTATCAGTGGTGAAATGTAAAATTTATTACTACCGGTTCTGTGGGTGTGGCTTGGTGGGGAGGGTAATATGACTGAGTGGGTGTGGCCAACTTTTTTTTTTTAACTTTTAAAACCATTTTTTCCACCACCTTTTAAAAGCCTCTGATGATCCCAGCTGACTTGCCTGATTGGCAGAGGCTATTTTTCCTTTTAAAAACATTTTTTCTATAACCTCTTCAGCCAAAGAGGTTGTAGAAAAAATGCTTTTAAAATCCTCTGATGATTCCAGCTGAGCTGCGTGATCATCAGAGGCTTTTTTTTTTTACTTTTAAAAGCATTTTTTCGGCCAAAGAGGTTGTAGAAAAAATGCTTTTAAAATTTTTTTTTAAAAGTCTCTGATGATTGCGCGGCTCAGCTATTGGTTCTCCGAACCACCCGCCTCCATCGCTACCGGATCGGGCAATCCGGTCTGAACCAGGAGCATTTCACCCCTGCCTTGTATTAACCCAATAGCTTAATGTTGCTGGAAAAATGGAAATTTTATAGTAGATAGCTATTACTACAGATTCTACATTTATAACAAGGTACACTTCTTGCTGTTCACATAGAATATATATAAAGGGAAATAATGGCATGGAAGATTTCACTGGACCAAAAGTTCAATATAAAATTATTCAGAAGAATCAACAGGGTTCATTCATCTCTGTTCACAGTTTATTCCACGATACCCCTGAGCTGTTACAGGTCTATAGGGAAAAAAATATTCTAAAAAAGTGAATTCGCACAAAGGGGATCACTTGGTAAAAGCACTTGGGCAGTCTATGTATGCTCTTGCAATGGAAGATGTATTTGAAATGAAGAAATGGCTAAGAAAGAAGAAACTGTGACTCCAAACATGAGATCGCTTCCCATAAAACAGAAGGTGGTAAATATCTTTTCACTGAATTTGATTTGCTTGTGAATCAGTAAGCTATAATTACCAACTTTCCGTAATTCAAAAGAGGTATCAAACTGATGCCCAGCAGCCAAGAGGAGGACTGCATAATTAATTCCTGACTGTAATGACGGTTCTGACTCAAATGCCTTCTTGAACCTAAAAGAGAAAACATTTCTTTAAAAAGTAATTCATTAAGAGGCAATTTGGGACATTCTTAAATTATTACCACAATCACTTTAATACAACTCAACTAACTTATCCAAGCATAACAGCCTCTGTTATATTCCAACTCATGGTTATTTTAGGAGCCCGAACACATACATCCTTCCTCCTCTTTCTTTCTTCTGTATTTTTGTAATTATGAAAACTACATAACTTCACAACAGCTTTGTTACTCTGCAGTGAAAACTAAATATATGTTTTCAACATTGAAGTTTTTTGACATTTATATTAGAAATACGATTTTAACCCACACACCATACACTATTTAAAGCAGATTATTCCTATTGTATGAATCTATAGAAATAAATGTAGAAGGTAATGCAATATACTAGTTAAAAGAAAAGGCATAAACAAATTAGTCAGGAATACAGTATTCAATTCATTGGTGTAAATGCATTTTAATAGTAGCAACAGTGTAGGCATGTAGAAAAGTCAGCTTCCTCCCCCATATTGATTTGATTTTTTGATTATAAATCCATAAGTAGACAACAGTTCTCTTTTACTACTATTTTCCAACTGCTGCCTCTAATCATGGAAATCGTATTTAGCCATCACAATCAGTAATTATTAACAGCTTTATTCATCAAAAGTTATAAATGACAGAATTAACATCACATGCTTTAACTCATTCTACAGGCTTACTCCTGTTGAGTAAGTGCTGCACAATGAATATTAATTATGTTACACAGAACTGCCCATCCGGAAGTATCCAGGAACATGAAATACAGACTTTTAGTCAAGCTAAAAGTCTGATTGGCAAATGCTGATGGAGGGTCAAAATGGTGGGTCTTTCCTAGCCATTCCCTGGAAGTGCCACTGATTGAACACTGGACTTTAAACATGCAAAGTATTTGCTGCAGCACTGAATAGAAGTAACAACAGTAAATAATAACAACAATAATAGGTTCTTGCCTATATATATATATCAGCAAAATATAAATTTGGTATAAAATTATTTGTCGTGAATGTGACTGCTTGAGGGCTCCTGGATTGGAGCTGAAAGGCGAAAGGGAGCAGAATGCCCCCTCCCACATGTTGGGGTAGACCAGGTGTCTCGATAGAAAATTACTTTATATATATATTTCTTTCACATAATGGATAGTCACTGCACTGATTTTATTGCTGTTAGTTTATTAAAGATTACTTAGATGACAATTTTGTTGTCCCTATTTTAATTGGGGCTCCCACTGGAGTTGAGGTGAAATGTCTGCAAAAAAGGCATCTCTACTGTACTTTAGTATTGAAGTCTACTAAAAGTATGTATGTTTGCTCTTGTAATTATGTTAAAAATGTTCTCATATTTTATTTCCTGCATTTCCCTGAAGTATAACAAAAAAGTATGTTTAGATTATCAAAATACTAATTTTCAATTTTAAAAATATGCTCTTTATTTATGATTGTTTGACAGACACATTATAATTTATTCCTGCTTTATCTGTCATTCCTGCTGCTTAATTTGGTAACCGCAAATATAAGGAGAAGGGACACCATTTCTCCTTCTGAGAGGAGGCTACTTTGGCATTAAGATCATCAGATGATTAAGATCATTCCTTTTCTTGATGTAAAGGAAGGCTCTCTGAAAGAGAGTTCTCCATTTAAAAAACGGATAGGAAGTTGGTTTTTGCCACTTCGTCTCTCCGCTAAAGTCTCTTCGTCATTTGGTTACCCATCAGATACAGTCCTGAATATTTTAAAAGCATTCATTTATTACAGAATTCATTGTAATAATAAGGATTCCCTGTTTATTTAAAAAAATAATTGGTACACCGATATCTGTAGTAAACGAAGCAGAAAACGGAAGAATACTGTGTGTATTTGCCAGAGATATGCTCTCTAAAGTAACAGACATAACAGCAGTGTAAGAAGACAGGGATGGACCAATGCTGTATGGGAAATAAAATACCACAGAGAAGGCATCAGCAGTGGGTTTCATATATTCTTACCACTGGTTCATTCCCCACGGGTCTTCCACACATGCGCCCGGCCTTCTGTATATGTGCTTTTACTTGCGCGCGCGCCTTCCACGCATACACCCGGACTCAAAAATGTGACTAAATAGGACGGCATTACACCGGGGCAGGTGAGAGGGCTCACCTGCAGTTGCCGCTACTGATTCACCTGAACTGGTACGAACTGGCTGAATACCACCTCTGGAAGGCATGCCCATCATTTTCTTTCCATATCCTTTCTAAATGCTACAAGACAAGGTTAAAGGCAATGGCTAGGAATCCAGTGAAAAGGGGGACTACCGCCATCTTCATTCGAGAAATTCACATAATCTTTCAAGCCCAATTAGTACTATTATTGCTGCAACAGAGTAACGTTAAAGAGATCTTTTGCAAGTAAGGTATCTCTTCTAGAATGTAACCAGCTGAGAACTGAAAGACTTTCTCTTGCTCCTTGAGTACAAACTGAATGTGCTAAGAAAGAAATAGCTGGAGCTGCCAAATGGATAGCTTGCATATCTGGGGGAAAGAAGCTTTCCTGCAGTGCTAGCTATCAGAAAAAATATTTTAGCTGGATAGCATCCACAAGCTTTGCGTCTGTGTTGTTTGCATTTAAACAACTACAGTAAGATTTGGGCATTTTCCAGAACACTATCACACAAAATAATTACAAGTCAACAATCAGTCAACAACTGTTGACTATGGTTGACTGACTATATTTTCCTAAACTAATGTTAAAAAGGGCAAAGAAAAGCAAAAAGAGTGCCAATGATTCAAGACATCCCATATCACGCTCAGCCCTTCTTTTTTTTTTAAACCTCTCTCTGGGAAATGCTATTCTTTCTGCTAATTTTTAACCCCGTTCAAATGTT